AACAATTAACAATTAACAATTTCATGTAAGATATATCGGTATTTACGTAAAAATAAAAATACATGTAATTCATTAATATAACTTACCGTTTCGTAATCGAATTCGCAAGCAATACCGTTTTTGTAGCCGAACTCTTTGCTCTGAAGTGAAGCCAATCGAATTGGTTAGCACTCATTCAGAGCAGTGCATTGATTAGCATTGATTCGGGGCAGTGCAAGAGTCAAGTTACTAGGAGCACTGGATCTGAATCAAGGCAAGTAAAACCACACTCGGATTGCATACACCATACCGTTTCGGCACTAGTGCAAAAGTTACTAGCCACTAGCACCGAGCAACATCGAGTGAGTGCACATCAACCGAATTCGCCATTAAAATTAAACACTTCTTTTTTTTTAAGTGTAATGATTATTTGATTATTACTTTTGAGTTCTGTAAATATTTCTGAAATACTCTTGGAATGTTGTTTTTGGAGTTTAGGAACATTTTATAAATATTTCAGGAATATTTAGCGTTAACTGGGTTTGCTCCAACTATAATCTCGCCTCGGAAGATAGAAGCATGTTCTTTTTAGTTAAACTTCTTGCACGATTCATTTTTTTCTTTTTCTCTCCAATTTGAAGAGAAAAGGAAGAAAAATGAATTATGTAAGAACTTTAACTAAAAAGAACAGATCTTAGGTTAGCTACTAAGCGATATATATTTGGTGAAAATTGTGTAGTGATTATAACATTCGGAACAGTACCGAATCAATCCAAGGGTGCGGTCCACATGGTGCTTCAAATGTGTCCCAACAGCACGTATGACGTCATTAATACATCACAGGTTTCCACTTCCACCTTATTTCCAATTGCTTCCAATGCTACTGCTTGGAGAGGTAGTTTAACTGAAGCGTTTAGTTTGAATATACAAAGCGCGGGAAAGCATAATAATAATCGAACGAAAGTATATCTGTAAAGCTGATTTTTAAATTTACATATTATTATATCGTGGCATCGTGCTACATATATTACTACAAATCGTGCTGTATGGTATATTGTGTATATTACATTATTAAAAATAAAAATTGTATAAACTATGCCGATTATAAGGTTACATGAAGGAGATACTGGAATGATTCATAATCTAGAAGTTTCCGAAGAGGATGCTATTATCTTCATCATAAATATAAGTAAGCGATTCTAAAAAAAACTTCACAGCGCACGTTAGCATGACTTTCATTTTATCCGTAATTGCAAAATACGTACTAACGCTTCAAAACGCTTCAAAAATTGGTCCATTTGCATACTGTTGGCAGCATTAGTAATGCTAATGGACCGTTCTATAGAAGCATACAAAAGTGAAAACGTTTGAAGCGTTTGTAGCACCAAGTGAACCGCACCCCAAGCGTGATGTTTGCAGCATAGCGTTCAGAGTACTGGAAGAAGCAAGTCACGACTAATAACGTGATTTGACGACCATCTTTGGGCTTAGGCCCTTAGAGCCAATACAAAAGCGATACATCTGCAGTATGGGGGGTGACTTAATATTGTGACCGACGATTATGGATCTGAAAATCAATGGCTGCATTCAGTAGAGAAAGCAGCTTTGCAACTGTTGTAAAATTCTTGAATGTGATTGGTTTATACATTTAGATCCAATGAGGAACTAAGGGCAAGACCAATCATATTGAAGAATTTTACAACAGTTGTAAAGCTGCTTTCTCTGCTGAACTCAGCCATTCTGAAAAGCAGAAAGAAGAAGTAGGGACGACGTGTATCTCCTCCAGAATTTTCAACCAGTATTTGCATTGCGGTCGTTCTCGAAGCTGATTATACTTGTGAGAGAACGAAGGTGGTCATACTTGTGAAATAAATTGCTGATTCCATTTCTTTATTGCTATAGAAACGAGTCATCGTGTGCTATCACCGATCCAGGAGTCGCATTGGTGAGGCATCATTTTTTATAAAAATATGTGATTTCACGGATCGCACATGGAAAAATTTTGAAATCGTATTCTGGAAAGTTCGGGTCTGTCGCGAGTAAAATATTTATTTTCGCGCAGTCCCGTCCAATCTCGGATAGAACACAGTCATAATTAAGTTGTAATGATATCATAACATGAATTAATGAACATCATTAATTCATTATGATATTATTTTAATATTTAAAAATAAATTTATAGATGAAATAAGGTTATGCTTACGTCCTTATGATATCCCAGGTGAAAACATTCACTTTGAAATTATCCCACGTGTTGGAACATTTCAGCGAAATTAAATATCCTGAAAATATATCACTGAAAGTGAATTTTACAGCTAATATATTAAAAAATCTCTGAAATTGAACTAAAATTTCTTTAAAATTTTGCAGAAATTTCTCTGAAATTTTGCTAAAATTTTCTTGAAAATGAATTTTTCATCTAAAAATCGCTAAAATTGAACTAAAATTTTTCTGAAATATTGAAATTTTATTAAAAAAGTGTTCGTGAAAACGTAGAATAATTTCAGTGAAATTTTTTCACGAGGAATTATTATGATTTCTGTATCTTACTCGGAACATAACGTTTGTTTTACTTTGGTCATCCGTTTTCGCGCTTGCCAATATTACAACTAAATTACCACATCTCTTTGTATTAAGTAACTAATTGTGTAATTTATATCACTTTGTAATTTATATCACGATACCATTTCTATTCGATATCTTTGAATGTTTTCTGTTCCTTCTGCACTAGAACTTTCTGAAGACTCAGGTAGGCTCGCGTGCGTCTATATGCTCCAACCATAGGCCCTATTCTGACTCTCTTTACACGTCTACCGATAGTTGTCGGTGTCGTTGCGCAGATATTTTGTATAGTGAAAAAGCTGCGCAACGACACCGACAAATGTCGGTAGGCGTGTAAAACAGTTACAGAATAGGGGCCCATAGCTCTTATTCACTCAAACGCGCTCGTTGGAGTAAGGAACATGTTGGAGTATGTTGGAGCATGTTGGAGCGAGCGCGCGAACAAACCTTATAACTGCTTTAAAGCATTTTTTGATTGGTCGATTTGTAAATTTTTTTTCTCTGATTTGCCAATCAAATGTTTCAAAGCACTTATAATAGGACTTTGCAGCTGTGGTCATTATTGAATCAAAAATTCTGATTTTTCTGGTATTGGACCGTTTCTTCCTTATGTTATCTGTGTCTTTTCCTATTAAAAAATCCGACATTGCATTTCTTCCCAGAAAGAATGGTTTTGAAAGTATCTAAAAATTTAATTAGATATAGATCTAAAAATAATTTAATTTGGATCATCAAAACTTTGATGAAAATAAAAATCGGAGCATAATCGGATGAGAGTGTAACAGAATGTAAACGGAACTTCTAGAAGGCGAAAATTGTGCTGTGTGGGTGGATATCTTCGAGTTTCATTGAGATGAGCCTTTGAATCTTATTTATTATTTAATAAATAAATATTTGGCAACAAATTCTTTATGTAGTGATAGAGTAAGGTCGTACTAATAGAAAAATACGGGATATGTTCAATTATTTAATTACAGAAGTTAGATTTGATGATCGTAAAACCATAAGGCGTGGAAAGCGTAATATGAGATACACAGGGTATTTCTAATATGAAATAACCCATGCTCTTATGTTATAGTCAAAATCTTTGCTAAAGAGTAAATGTCTTTGTAGAGTAATAAAAAGGAATGAATGTCGAGTGCGTATTTCTGCGATGCTTGAGTCCAATTACCTGAAGACGAGTTCTGGGTATAATCTATCACATGCTCATTTTTCACGCACGCTGGCTGTGTTTGTTTGCATTTTAGAAACATGAAATAAAGTTTTTTAATTGCAATACGGATATACTTTGCGTTTTATTATCGATTTCTCGGAGCATCTCATATTAGGAGCACAATTTTTTGACTTTGTGATATGTTCACTTTTTACATTACTTTAATTTTCAAAACAAATAGAATTTGAATTAAATTTTGTATAACGTCATCTTAAAGCTTATTAAATTCCCTTCAAAATGACCTATTATTTTTTAAAATTCTGCCCGTAGACTTCTAGCATTTATCCAAAATGAACTCGGTATCTCATAATAGGGGCTTTTCCTCTATTTATATTGCAATATAATAAATATATTTTCTGATTCATTTGTCAAAATTCCATAATTCATTCATTTTCTACAACTTTTGCTTTGCGCACAATTACCCAACCCATGCGCACCATTACCCACCGCGCAGGTTTTTTCCTTTTTGTCAAATATAACCTTTTAAATGCAAATCTGTTCAATATGAGGATACGTAATAATAGAAGAATGTTTATAGTTTTTATTACCATGCTTATATCGCTTTAAACTTGGCAAACCATCTAGGGCAATAAATTTCCCTTAGTTGCGTTCTTCCACTTTCATCTACAGACTTACGATTTAATTTTTATTTTTATCAAGGAATAATTTCGTAGGCCGCTTAAAATGTTTGCTAAAATGGAAAAATCTTTTTAAAGTATTGTTATTAATGTTTAAGCGTTCTATATAATTATTTTGATGGTTAATATTGTTATGTTTTTTCTATGTTCGTGAATAATGCGGTTAACTGTTGTAATCTCGGAACCTTTGCGACGAATTGCCGATAAACATCCGAGACAATAGTACCGCATTAAGTTTGTCCTGTTAACCATACTGAGATATGTTACATAGATCTTATGGCATACATAGATCTTATGGCATAGATCGCCATACTGTGAGCTGCTACTGCTGGCGAGAACTATCGCAATCTCTATCGCGTCGGAAATAAGAGAATTAAGGCTGTATCAGATGTACAGCTTTGCAAAAAAATGACTGAAATTGAAAATTTATATTTTCTTTAAAAATTAATGTTATACATGTGTAAAACCGCTCAATAATATCAATATTTATATTCAACAATTTAATTTTATTGTTTTAATAAAATTGTGTTCATTCTAATTATTTTTTATTTGTAATTATATTACTAAAAACTTTTATTTATGTTTAAAATTGTGTCTGCGTTTTATTAAAATAATTTTGATCCAGGATAAATTCTAATTTACCGCTAAACTTTGTGAATTACTTTTCAAATATAATACAGAAAATCTACATTTTTTAATTTTGTCAAAAAATACATGTAACATATATCCTTAATGACACATTGGTATTTAATTAGATTATCGAAGTTACCACATTCCTTCTAATCATGTACCGTAAATATTATTTATCATATTGTATTGTGACGAATTCAATTTGTGAAAATATTTATTTTTATTATTTTTAAATACCGTCAAGGCACTAGTTTCTGATCAGTTAAGGAACACTTCCATGTTGCCCTCAATATTTAAACGCAATAAAAGGAAAAAATACAAACTTTTTTGTTTTCAAACGATAGATCAATATACCAACTTTAAGTTGCATTTGGAAAAATGATATAATAGCCATAATTACGTTAATAATGAGATAAAATAGCCGTGAGTTACATGGAACTAATTTCTGATCAGCCATTTTACTCACAGAATCAATTTCTGATCAGGTCAAGAACTAGATTCTGATCATTAATAGATATTTTGTTACATAAAAAGACTAAGAACTCAATAATGACATCCACTTTTTAAAATAATTATGTATATTTTTCAATATATTGTTACATATATTTCATAAATAAATAAAATATGGAAATTATATTACTAATTAATTAAACATAATTTCCATATTTTTAATATAATACCTAAATTAATATATTTTTACAACCGACTACTGTTAATATATAATTTCCATATTATTAATAGAATAAAATTAATAATAGAATAAAAAAGCAACAAATAAAAAAACTTTATCGAAGTTAAACCTTTTTTCATATCTTTAAATCAAATTTATATATGTGTATATATATGTATATATATATATATATATATGTATACATATATATACATATATACATATAAGACTACAATATGGTATATATGCAAGTATACATATATAGTATACATATTAGTAATTCAAGATTGAATTATTTAAAGCAACGAAGATCCAGCTCCGACCGTAATAGGCATTTAAAATTCTAGTATTGATTGTGTTTCTCACATATACGGTCTAAAAATATAAATATATTGTTTATATATTCAATTTTATACAATTTTTTGAATATTAATCAGGAAAATAAATAGATCTTATAAAAATAGTAAAATAAGCTACAAGATAAGTTATGTGTTACTTGACTGAGCGAAAATTGGATATGTATGAGAAAAATCGGAACCTAAAAGTAATCACCCATCTTTTTCGAGTTAAACATTACAAAATGTTCTTTTTTTTTACGACATATCTATTAGTAAACTATTCTCTGAAGGAAATATATATAATTACCTTGATTTCGTTAAACGGGTGCAAATGACAAGCTGACGAAACAAACAACTTTGCTTACGCCCGGCCATAACAGATGGCCTCATATGCGTCTCTTGTCCGAACGTTTATCTTGACGAATTTATTGTCATAAAAATGCGTTCAATTGGAACTTCCATATTTACGCTTAGTAATTCTCTATGTTCAGTTTTTATTATAAATATTTTTTACAGAGAATATTTATGATGGCGAATGCAATAAAACAATTTATTCACTAAACTGATCAGAAATTAGAGACTGATCAGAAACTAGTGCCTTGACGGTACTATGAATTTAAATTCTATTTGAATATTGTTCTCTTCGCTCTCCGAACTTGTAGTCGCCAAACCACCCCGTGGGTATCGATCATGTAATTTTTTCTCTAGAGCGAAACGTGAAAAGTAAAAAATTTTATGTATGTATACATGTATACAGGATGTCCCGAACTCTTTTGCCAATCACTTTTGTGTAGATAGAGCGGACCAAACTGAGTCGAAAAGTCCTCTACCATTTTGCAATTTTCGCAATAATTAACAACATATTAATTACTAAAAATTGTAAAATATTGATCTTGAATATTTTTTACTCAAATACTGTCAACTTTACAGAAAAACTGCAAC